TTTTTTTACGGACATATATTTAAATCTGCTTACATTTTTACTGCTATTGATATTGATTATATATACTAATTGATTATGTCCTTTTCTGTTTTTGTAGGTTATTGTACCGGAACTGTCTACTGTGACAAGTTTTTACATGGCCATGGTTTTCTGGGAGAATGCGTTTTTCCAAACCACAGGACAAAGGGTTGCATAGTATATAAAAGCCACGAAAACAAGCCGAAGGATCTGAAGCAATTCGACAGAGCAGTTATTCTGATAAGGAATCCTTACGACGCTCTAAAAGCATACTTCAACTGGACATTTGGAAAGCCTGTTAACACTTCGTCAGGAAATATCAAAACTTCCAAAAAATCACCAAAGTCCCCGAGGGATAGGTTCCATGCCCTTGTTGACCTCTCTCGTTTCAACTCCACCGGTAAGTTTCCGATTTCATTTACTCAACGTTTATTGGCCTAATGTTTTATATGCCTTGCTAAGATTTCTGTCCAAAAGAAGAGACTGTACAAAGTAGATTTATATTCCTTTATTAGATAGCTCCATTAATTTTAACAAACATAAAGTCAAGGATAGTATTTGCTTCAAAATGTGTTTATCTGTCTTTTACATCAACGTTTACAGTAGGACACCTACAAATATATATATATCTAACATTCATTAGATTTAGTTTCTATTTCATCACAAATTTCCGCTACAGAATTTCGTTTTGAATGCCTTATTTTTCCTTCACTAACAACTCGTAAGACGCATTTTAACCTGTTATTTAAAGAATAATGATAGTTGTTGGATCCAATGAATATCAAATTTGGTAAACAAATGATAATTTATTTTTACCACGGATCATAACCTATTAACAGCAAATTGTATTATTTGTGACCAGTCAGGATGTTACTGACCTGAGCTGGTCAGAAGTAAATCATACTGGACATTGGCCTCACATAGCCATCTATGAAAGGTTAATGGAATGGGCCTAGTCTAGAGTGACAAGTGTAAGCGCTGTACGACTTTGGTGAACTGAGGATCTTATTAATTATTAATTTATACAGAAGATCTCGTGCTACATGTACTTGTTAAATTAGCAAAGGATTTGCAGAATATTTGTTTATTTAGGCACATTCATGTACATTTGTATCTGCTGACCCAATTGCATGATCGTAAGAGGCG